ATGAAAAGAGTGAAATTACAACAGACCCAGCCGAAATTCAGAGAATCATCAATATCTACTTTGAGAACCTATACAACAATAAGATGAAAAACACAGAAGAAATGGACATACTTCTAAATACATATGAAATACCAAAGTTGAATGAAGAAGACCTAAAAATTCTAAACACAATATAAATCAATGAAATTGAAAACATAATTAGAAACTTACCAACTAGGAAAAGCCCATGTTCTGATGGCTTCACTGCTGAATTCTATGAGACGCTTAGAGAAGAACTATTACCACTACTGTTTAAACTCTTCAGTGAAATTGAAAGGGAAGCAGTACTCCCACATTCATTCCTGGAAGCAAGCATCACCTTGATTCCAAAAGTAGAGAAAGACCCAATTGAAAAAGAGAACTATAAGCCAATCTTCCTAATGAACATACATGCAAAAGTCCTCAAAGTGATACTGCAAACAGAATGTAGAAGATCATCAAGAAGATCATACATCCTCATTCCACTGTTCTCAGCCCAGAGGTAGGGGCTTCTGGGCCACTGTTCTACCGCTCGCAGCTCAGAGGAGGTGAGACATGCAGAAACCAACAGTGCCTGCTCCCGGTTGAAAAGAGAAGACACGTAAACAAGTCTCAAAACCAAACTTCCAGACAATCTACAGCAACCCCAAAGGGAAATGAGATGGACACTCTGATACTCAACCACCTGGACTCCCTAAACTGGCATAAAAAGAAGATCTGGAAAAAATGAAATACAGAAATAATTTCTCAGATAACAGCAGACATTGTACCCGCAGTACAAGACATGATTAATAAATCTAGAGAGGAGCTGAGGAACATGATGGAATCTCAATGTAGGAAACAAATGGAATCCATAAAACAGATGCAAACAGATTTCCAGGAGATCAAAAACTCCATTAAAAGTCTATACAAGTCCCGCTGCTCCTGGCCCAGAGGAAGGGGCTTCTGAGTCACCATCCAACTGCTCCTGGCTAAGAGGAAAGGGCTTCTAGGCCAGCATAAGTCCCACCACTCCTGGCCCAGAGGAAGATGGCTTCCAGGCCAATATCCATACCACCACTACTGGCACAGAGGTAGGGGCTTCTGGCCACCATTTGACCCACTGCTCCTAGCCCAAAGGTAGGGGCTTCTGGGCTGCCATCCATCCTGATGCTCCTGGCCCAGAGGAAGAGGTTTCTGAGCTGCTGTCCCACTGCTCCCAACTCAGAGGAGGTGAGCCTCATGGGCATCAACATCACACCCCCGACCAGGTCAAAATGAGAAGACACAAAAACAAGTATCAAAGCCAGACTTTCAGATCACATACAGCAACCCCAAAGGGAAATTAGATGGAACACTCTGACACTCAATCACCTCCACTCCCTGAACAAGCAACAAAAGAGGATCTGAAAAAAATGAAATCAGAAATAATTTCTCAGATAACAGCAGAGATTGTGCTCATAGTGCAAGACATAATTAATAAATCTAGAGAGGAGCTGAGGAACACAATGCAATCCCAACATAGGAAACAAATGGAATCCATAAAACAGATGCAAATAGATTTCCAGATCAAAGACTCCATTGAAAATCCACACAAAAGAATGAGCCAATGTGAGGACAGAATTTCAGATATAGAAGATAAGATTGTAATTAGCGGCCAGGAAAAGAAAAATTGCTTCAAAATTGTAAGAGATGATGAGAAAACAATCCAGCAGCTGCTAGATGATGCAAAGAAGAATAACATAACACTGATTGGAGTCAAAAAAGAAACAGGAGAGAGTACAGACGACATAAAAAAACTGTTCACAGAAGTAATGGTGGAAAACTCCCAAGCAGGGGAAAAGAACTTGACATACAGATGAGTGAGGCACATAGGACTCCAAATAGCCTTGATCAAAAAAA